TCTAATATATTTTTAATGCCTGTGTCCAGACTATTTTGGCAAAATAAAGCAGTAGACTGGGAATTTGATACTTTATTTCTCATTGGGGAAATCACCAGGGTGATTTGCCTATTGTTAATATCAGATTTCTGTGGTAACGTCTCTTTCCAAGAGCAAGATAATGTACTTCTTTGACTCAGTTTCTCCACAAGGAGGTCCTTCTCAGCCCTACTCTCTCAATGAAAGCTTTTCACAACACACTGAAGACTTTATAAATACCAGAGTAGGCAGTGTAACTTTCTTGCGTCTTATATGATGCTGGGAGGGAAAAATAGGATTCAGGCTAGAATTATGCCTCAGAGAAAGATGAAAAAACTTTTGTACCATGAAGTGGCCAAACACCACTTTCACATTAGGGTAGAAATAGGTTATATAAAACAGAAATTCTCTTTTTACTTCTTTTGGGGATCATATTTAACGTGCATATCACATCTGTTCTTATTCTAGGCCACAAAGTGCCAGTGAAATTGCAGTTGTGGAATTTGGTACATTGAAAAGAAACTTCACTCAATTAGAAGTGCTATGAGCTAAAACGTAATATCCAAGGGAACTTGGAAATCTGGATTTTTTTTTTGAAGGAAAAAGGCAACCTCAAAAAATCAGTGGTTGACAAAGTTAGAGAAAATACAACACAATGAGTGAACATTTCACCTTTGCTATGTAGTATTTTTGGGGATGCAAATGGTAAAATATGAGAAATTTCCAGTTGTAAATCAAACTAAATGTTTGTCTGGAGGATAAAAGAGAAGGCACTTTGATTTGGCTCTGTGAATCTCATGACCATACAAAGCGGCCTGTAGTTTATAAATACCCTAATTGGTTACAGTGCTAGACTATACAAAGAGGAGCTGGGATTAAGGAAAGGAGAAACAAGAAATGTGCTACCAATAAATCCACCATACTGTAAATACATTACTCGCTGCTTGCGTTAGTTGACTGAGGAATTTAGGCTGGGCTAATGTGGATTCCTGCTGCTGCAATTGGCACTTTTTAACCATGAAGTGATGAGTTAATAAACTGCCATGGCAGACTTTCTAAAGCAGCTAAAGTCAGGGGAGAGGAAAGAAATAGAAATATTCACAGGAAAGGGTTATGAATCATTCTCTTACTTGGTCGATTGCAGCTCCAAGAAATGCAAGTTGTTTTTTTTCTTTTTCCCCATGTGGCATGCCTCCATGTATTAAATTAAATGAGAGCATGATTCCTAAAACCTAAATCTTCCATGCTGGGGGGAACTTAATGTAAATAATGACAATTTTTTGAGAAGGCAGTTTTGATTTCCTTGTAAGAATATTTACCATTATTATATTTTAGGCTCAATTATATTAACCAACTTACCGCTTACATTACCTAACCAATCAATTAAATTAACTATCTTTTTGAATAAAGGGTAACACTCCAAAGAAAAATTCAACTAATACAAGAAAGTTATGTGTGGAAATGTCTAATATGGCCAAGTGAATGTGCATGAATGTTTTTCCAGAGTAGAGAAGAGAATTAATGTGTTATTCTCTGATAAAGATGGTGAAATACGAAGTCTGCAATAAGGTTTACCCTGGCAATAGGCTACAAAGAGACTGATTCTCTTAACAAAGTAATGCACGTAGACTACACACCCTTTTCACCCGCAGGTACTTTATTCTTTTATTCTAACCTTGCACCCTTAGGCCCAGGCTGAAAGGAAGCAGGTCTCCCGCCATGTTGGAGGCCACATTCTGGGCTTTACCTGTGCTCTTAGGCCACTCTCCCTCCCACCTTCTCTAAGACCATCTAATTTTCATTATTTCTATTTTTTAAATATTTTTATCCATTAGTCTCTATTTCCATTTATCCGTAAGTTCCTTTTCCTCCATCTATAAAATAGCTCAAATGCTCCAACATTCTAAAGATAATATTTCCTTGACATGGCTTCCCTTTCAAACCATCCCTTCTCTGGCTCTCATTCCTTTAATCAGAAAAACTGTATCTGCCTCTGCTTCTTGGTCTCCCAACCGTATCTTCTTCATTCTCTGTCGTCCATCCTCCACTTCAGTCATCTCCTGCAACCATGGATCCACAATGCCATTTCCATAGCTCTGAAGTCCAAAAGTGCTCTGAAACTGAGAGTCTTTCTTTTAAACTTATTTGGCAGCCAAAGTGGATTAGAAATTACCTAAGGCTATTGACACTTTTTATGGATCCTATGTAGTATTATTCATACTCCTCTCTGCAGACATATTAATATGCTTGTAATCAATGGTATATGTGCTGTTTTACCTTTCTAAACTCTGAGAATTGCTGAATTCTGAAGCATCAGCACGTGGGTTTGCAGATAGGGGCTTGTCGACCTACAGTGTCGAGTCCAGCAGCCCTCCTGACCCGTCTCCATCTCGCTGCCATTTGCTGACCACCCTTCCCTGCACAGCCTCCTGACACCCTCAGTCCTGGTACTCTCCGGTCTGTTTTTGAACGGCAAGTTCTGCTAGCTCCTCTTCCTCTATCCATTCCTTAAATATAGCTGTGTTCCCCAAGGCTTTGATCTCTGACTTTTTATTGTCTCAGACTATACTTTCTCCTGGATGATGTCATCCACTCACAAGATTTAAGAACTTTCTATATGTAGACAGGTGACTCCCGAATCTACATTCCAAATCTTGACTTCTGTTTAGAAATGCAGAAACACATTTCCATCCCCAGTTAGATATTCCACTTACACCTCCACCTGGCCCTCCAAACCCTTTATTCCTCCCTGTGTTGCCTGCCTCAGTTAGTGGCATTACCATCTATCCCAATCTAGACACGGCAGTGTCATCCTTCTCTCCATAACACGATTCAGTCATTGTCTAGGTCCTAACAACTCCCTCTCTAAAGGCATGTCAGCATTATTCCCTTGTTCCTTAACTGCAAAAATGCTGCAGTGTGACTGCAAATTCGAATTTACCAAAGACGGTAGTTACGGTGAACATTAGTGATGATTGGATAGTTGCAGAAATCTAGATTTTCTTCCTGGTTCACTCACAGTGACTGAAATCTACCCAAATACCTGTGGGTCAGAAGAGCCCTGGGTGTAAAAAAAAATCTACAAAGAAGGCATGGTTCCATTGAGCCAGGCATCAGGGTGAGTCCTTGGCTCTGAATTCAATACCGTTCCTTCAAGGCAGATCTGAAGAAAAGCCAGTTCTCTTTTGGTTTTCAACATGGCGTGTGAACTCAGTTTGCCTAGTTTCCTCATTAAGTGTTGCAGATAATTTAACTAAATGGCTGGAAGATAGTTTCTAAAAGCCTAACTGGATGAAACTTGTGTTATGCCTAGGAATATATAGAATGGAATATATAGAATGTATATATAATATATACAGCGGATCCTAGACTGATTTATTTGATACAGGTCTAAAAACTCAAGTTTGCTATTTCTCATATCTCTCAGAATAAATTTTGAGGTAAACATCATGATAAAACCTAACTCTGTCCTGATCACAGCACTAAATTTTACATTTTTAGACTTTTATAGAGCACCTATTTCTCTAGGAGACGAGTATGTATTAAATGTACATGTAATTTACCCTTTGTTTTTTAGGGGGTATAATCTAAAGGAGCCAGTAAACAAGGTCATGGGTTCATTAAACCTGAGCCTAGGCACAAACCAGAAAACATAAGAACCTAACAGAATCCAGTCTGCCTGAACACTTGTGAGAAAATTGAAACTTAGTAACAGTTGCCTTATGATAATTCCTGTAGGCATCACATCCCTGGAGCAATGGGGAACCTCTGATGAAGACATGTGATGTGGGACCAGCACCAGATTTAGAGACAGAATTCTAACCCGATATCTGGAACTAAAGCGTCAATAGAATAAACCCAATTGGGGTACTCCAGGGGGAGTATTTGTGCTGTTGTTCCACTGCTCAAACTTATAGGTTAGAATTTCTGTGAGAAATAAGGTGATGGAATTAAGGCAAATACTACACATTAAAAAAGAAGAAAGAAAAGTTTAACTATTAGATATATTGGTTTAATGGGGGTAAGTCACATCAGGACCAACAGTATTCCTTTCTTTAATGAAAAAGAATGGTGAATAAAATTACTCAAATCTACTGTTATCTGTAATGATTCATTTTCTGTTACTTTTGTCTGCAATTGAAAATAAGAAGTCAATCTTTATCAAGTGGGAAGATTAGCTTTTTTCTTACTGGCATTTATAATGTTGGCCTTTGGTTCAGTGATACAAATTTAAATTCCATACTTCAGGGCAGAGGAGCCTCCCTAGCCTACCACCACCTCAACAACTGGACTATCCCCTGGCAGCATAACACCCTCCCCTTCACAATTTGGAAAATGCCATAGCAAGTAGAATGCCAGCTTCCAAAATGCCATCATTTCAAGCTACAGATTAGAAACACTACTGGTTCTGGGAATGTTCTATATGCTTCTAGGAGCCCTCGGAGTTTATAATAACTGGGCTTTTAAAAAGAAAAATTCTGGCCTTTTGAGCTTCCTTTGTTCGGCGCGCTCTATACTCTTTGGAGTGTACTTTCTCTTCTAATAATGGCCCTTGAGCCATTCTCTACTCCTTGGGCCTGCTTCTGTTTCTTTGAAATGTATGTTTTCTTCTAATAAACTGTCTTTTTCTGCAACTTTAAAAAAAAACATTCTTTTTAAGTTTCTGCCTTTTGATTCTATAAATAGCTTACTATATGAGCAAGTAGATAACTCTTATGAAACCTTTGAAATGCTTTTATAGAACATGGTATGTGATCATACTGAAATAGTGACCTAACATCCATTAGTTCTCATGTTTCATTGCAGCAGAGTGGGAAGTAGAAGGCATTTGTCTCAAATATAAAATAAAGCATTTACCAGGTGGAGTATGTGACACTTCTGGCCTTGGTGACATTTTTGGCTTTGAAGTAACACGCTGGAACACCTTAGGAGCTGAAAGAGAGAACTCAGATCATGAGTCATGTGGTTTTAGCATCTCCCAGTCACGCGTAACACATAAGATATGACAAGGCGTAGGCCTGACCACTGATGGAAAAAAAAAAAAAAAGGTATCAAAATAGGAGTTAGGTAGAAAAATAAACCTGAAGCTCTAAAAATAGAGCAGTTAAAATTCCAGATACTTTTAGAAAAATGAAATAAGAGAAAGTGCAAAGGTGACTAAGCCTAAATGTAGGATGGAGAACTATTTGATATCTTCATTTCAGAAGATTAGCAACTAAATTAATCCAAAGATGTGCTTCTTTTCTGGATGTTTGCTTGACTTCTCCTTAATCTCCTCTCCCCCAAACACACACACCAGATCTCTCTTTGAAGATGAGTTCAGGGAAGTCAGTAGTAGGAGCCCATGAGACATGGATAAGAGAAGCTTAAAATCAGATCAGGCAACAGAAGGAAGGGAAGTGAGTGTGGGATGGAATGGAGTGGGGGGGCTCGTATTCTACTGCCCCTGCAATTCTTAGGCCCCAAACAAACCTTTAATTGAACATGTTCACAAACTAAAATTGTCTTTCCTCAACTGTTCCTTTAGAGTAACAGGTGCTAGTGTAATAGATACCAGGAAAAATTTTCTAATTTATTTATAGCTCATTTTACAATTTCAAAAATGCTTTTATGAGGATTATGCCCTTTGATTCTCACCATAAGGCTGGGAGGAAGGAATTCAGCATCACTTGAAAGGCTTGAGTTGGTGACTATCTGCTTGAGGTTACATAGTTACTAAGTGCAAGAGACAAGACCTGAACTGAATGCCAAGGTCCAGACATTGTCACTAGGTCCAAACACTTGGGCTCTCTATATCCCAGTTCTGCAGGTCACATTTTTAACTTGTTTCTCATTTTTTTTAGGATTGAAATAATAAGCCTGTCCTAACTCAAAGGGTAGTTGTGAGAATTAAATGTGAAGTGTCAAAATGATGTGAAAACTATACTACTGTAAATTATTTTTTCCATTCCTACAACATCATTACAAAGTCGACATTGAAAGATCTGCGTATGTTCTAATTTTTTTCATTGTTTGCTCCTACAAAAACTAGGAGCACCTATGGTTTGGATGATTATAAGATTTCTAGGTATAAAATTAATAATGGGATTGTTAAGTATTACCTATGAACACAGAAATTTAAAAATCAAAACTTTATTTAATGACAAAATAGTCTTGATGATTTGCTGCAAAATTTTATCCCACTTTGCCCTCAAATGCCAAATACAGATTTAAATTTTGTCACCAGTTTATAAACATAGTTTAAGTATAAATAAAAAGAAAGGTGGCATGCCAATAGATTTTCATTTTGAAAAAAGTGGTGGATGAACACACCGTGTTGCACTTTAAGTTGTACACACTATTGTCAGATGATACCCTGATAGTCCAACAATAATTCGCGTTTGGTATTGTACACAGGAACAGAACATCTTCCTACCCAAATTGCCTTTTGAAGTTCATGAGAGCTAGCCAAGGGTTAGGGAGGAAGTACTAGGATTTGAATATCTGTCTTTGACATATTTAGTGACATGTGTCACATGTGACACACAAGCATCCTCGAAAGACTTTGAGAACCTAGGATATTACTGGGATCTATTAGGTAAGATCATCTTCTCTTGGGTAAGAGAGATACTAATTTCACCCACTTTTAACTGGAATGATTGGAATGTATTCTGTTTTCCATGATCAATTTTCCAAATCATTCCCTTGCATTAAGTAGCACCAACGAAAACAGAAGTATTTGGGTTGCAACAACTTTCCATGGGAAATGCTGATGAGCTGGGAGTTGCCTAAGTTGAGACAGAATCAGGATGCTTTCTTGTTAGTTTGGCAGCCAATCCAGAGTTTCAGAATCAGAATGGAATGCATTGAGCACATGAATCTATCCATTCTGAAGCTGCATATCTTGCAAAGGAAGGTTGGCCAAAGGTTTAAATAAAAATTAAATAAATTTGAAACTTTGCATATAGTATAATAATGGGAATTTAGAGTAAGCCTCTAAATTACTATTCTGTATTTTTGTAAGTACAGAAAGAAAAGAAAATTTCAGAAAGAAAATTGTGAATGTCTTCCTTATTACTTCATATCTCCCTTATTTTTTAAAATTTCACTAACCAGCTAACTATATCCTCAGCGTCTTAACTCCCAGCACTAGTTATTTTTCATCTTTTCTATTATTTTCCAACATTCAGCAAGTTTTTGTGCTTTCTTATTTATTTCCATTTCTCAATTTTCTGCTGCTTTTGCTCTATGCTTTATATTCAAATAAAAAAGTTTAGAGTATCGTCATGTGATTTTATCTTTTGATTTTTTTAAAAATAATAGATTTTAGTTTCCTACCCACAAATTTAATATACTTGCTTTGTTTTTTTATTCCTATTTCTATTCATTATCATTACTTATTTACTAATCATTAATTATTTTCCCAGTATTACTTGTATATTGTTTCACATATATTTATTGTTATTATTTTAAATTTCTCATTGTATCAGGGGATTGTTGCCTTGGTACCTTCATATACTACTATGTATCATACCCATATTATTTTCATAGCAAAGTTTTAGTAATTTAATAAAACACACTTTAAAATACATTAAAGCAGATTTAAAATCATTAGCTAGATATGGAACATAGAACTGTCTTTTAAGGAATTTTCCTTTAAAGGAAAAAAATAATAGGTAAAATTTCTCTCAGAATCAGATATTGAGGACCATGCACAAATCTACAGTGTTTTCTTTCAGTAGGGATACTAAGATATGACTAAAGGATTTGTGGTGGAAATTCAGAGCTACAACCTGGATCAAACAAAATTTTGATGCTGCTAACATTTTCATTTTCCCAGACCATTAGTGATTGTGAAGATTTCTTTCCTAATAAATTGGTAGGTGTACCTATTATACTTTTTGGATGCAGGCCACGTATAAATTATAAATTTAAATTTAGGTGATTGGCCTAGACTGTAACTTCCTGGACCACAGAAGGATTCATTTTTTTCACATTCCCAATGTCTAGCACAGTGCCTGGCATGTGGTCAGCATGCAATAAATATTCGTTAAGTGATTAACTGATTAAATGAATTAGTTAAGCAATTACTTAAGTAATAAGGGGTGATATAACTTGAAATTAGGAGAGAAGAGAGAGAGGAGAGCAGTTCATTAATAACAATAGACGAGGCATGACCAGGTAGATTCTTGGAGTAGTCCCCCATGCTAGAATGTAACATACTTAGTAACAGATGGACTATAAGAGGCTGGATGAGGAAGCAAAGTAAAAATCAGATGTAAAATTGTTGAGAACCTGCCACAAGTGTAAATGAGAAATTGAAAGGAGGGAAGACAATAAGCTTTCTTCGAGGCATGTCAAGTTTATGGTAGTTCAAAATGGAGATCTGCTCAGGTAGCTGGAGAAATTATAGTTTGGTTAAGAAGTTAGGATTAGAATTAATCATTCAAAGAAGAGTTTCTTCAACAAAATAACAATAATTTTTAGCATCTCTTGTTTGGATTCCTATCAAAATTTTGCAGCAAAGCAACAAAGTGATATTACGTAATCATTTTGTTATAAGAGAGGGTGTGTGTGTGTGTGTGTGTGTGTGTGTGTGTGTGTATGTTTGTCATGACATTAATGTTAAATAAAATCTACTGACAGGTAAAAAACAAAAATTAGGCGATTGGCAAGAGGAGGCACATTTAAGTACCTAGGGCTTCTCAAGTTGGGAGAGGGAAAGAAAATAGGCAGGATATTCTTTTAAGAAATTCCATACTTTTCCATGCCCCTCTCAAAATAATGCTAATAATAGGGAAGCTTTCTGGAATAAGCTATTCCAATAAAACACTTTTTGATAAAGTCTAAAAGTAAATGTAAATATTTATTATGTTTCAAAGGAAGACTGGTTTCACAAGGGTGAAAAACCCAACTTGCTATAATTCAACAGAATAATTCCACTAACATCAAACGCTTCAAAGCAGAATATAAAATATGTATTTACCTGGCTGTGTCTGTGGGACTCTTGGACGTGGAGATGTTTTTGGTTTGGGCGGAGTGCGTGCTGTCTGCTTGGGAACTAAAAGAAAGGATATAAGGTTTGGAGCCCCTGAGCTCCTCCAGAATCACAGTACCTAAGCCTCTGTTCTTTCAAAGATCTTTGTTGAGTGACTGAAGACCTAAATACACAGCAATTAATGCTAGTAAAGCTCCCAACGAGCTACAAAGTTTAGGAAAATAATTTTATCTTATTACAACAGAAAACAAAACAAAACAAGAAAGCATCATTAAATGATATCCAAGATATTCAGCTGGCAAATGTAACTTGGAATTCCAAAAATATCTACTTCAAATGTCTTTTAAATAGGTTAGAAATAAATTTCATAATAACAATAATTTATCTTTATTAAAAATTCATGCCATTTTATCAGATTATTCCAGTATATTTTTAAGTGTAAATAGATACAATTTTTACTCAAAAAAAGTTAGCGTGTTACAGTCTAAATACACCTAGAAAATGAAAGCATTTTAACAGCAAGTACTGATGGAAAAAACTGATCTTATTAAATAAAACTTGATTTTTATTGATCAGATTGAGGGGAAAAAAAAACTGAGCAGAAATTGAAACCATACATTACTGAAGGAACTTATTCCTTTGCTGGGCAATTCTGAAAGGAGTTCTAGGACATTCAGTGTAAAAGCCAATTGTTTCTTCATCAAGAAAATTAAACGTATATCCTGCTGGAGAAAAGGAATTATCAAATGCAAGGCTGTAGCTTGTGGAGACACCTCATTTGGCTGGACTAGTGTTTGAGATAAGAGAGATCATAAGAAACAAAATGCTTTTCAAGGTCACAGAGTTTCAGGCACCTTAAGAAAAGATTTCTGAAAATAAGTTTTATTAGATACTAGACGTTTCTAAAGAGTCTGTGGAGACTTCGTCCTACTGAATGAATATATACAAGGCATACAATGGTTTCAGTGGGATCTTCTCACCTGTAGAGAGATGAACACCCAGATATGTTGGAGGTTACATTGATTTAAGAGCCTGGGACCTGGAGATTTAGAGTTCCCTTTGCCAATCACTGGGTCCACGGGCCCAGGTTCTTCATCAAAAGTTACAGGATTTTTAAGAGCCCTTCTAATCCTAAAATTCTCTGATTCTAGAGTTTCTTTCAGTCTAATGATTTGCTGACTCTCAACTTCTTTGCTCACCGAGGTTCCTGCTGGTAAGCTATTTGTTTCCCTGGGCATACGAAAGGCCATCTGCAGGTAAAGGCATGTCATGAGGCAATTCCATAAAAATGATTCCGAAAGAGACAAGACTCACTAACAGTATTCACAAACATTTCAATAATATTATTATAGCTATTAAAAAGAATAAACTGGGAATGTTAGAGATAATTGACACAGATTTAGTTAATTCAGTCAATGTGTAATTTTGGTAAAAATTAAATTGCAGAGTTTAATAGGCAATATTTAATAGGATATTTCAGAGGTAAGTGAGTAAAATTAATATTCATATTTCTTTTGGAAGCAGAGCCATACAAAAAATGTTCAATGGCAATCAAAACACAAGTTTGGGGTTGTTTATGATAAACTTCTACCCCAAGAGAGCCTAGAGATATCGAGAGGATTTTTTCCTTATAAGAAGCACATTTAGTTATCCATGTTAATTTGTTTTCCTTCATTTCAAACTCTACCATCATGACTTGCCAAAGTAACTGGTTTGATTTCAGTTTCTGTTGTTTGTATGCAGTGAAATGGCCAAACCACTATAGGAAGGAGTGAAAAGGAGTAAAGGACCTGAATAATGACAAGGTGACTGGCCAGTTATACCTTTTTAAGTGGATTGCACAGTGAAACCCGTTTCTGTTCATCTCAAACATAAATTAGGTATCTTAAAATGTTTTTTACATGACCACAGAACATGTAAAACTAGTGGAGATGATAAAGTGTTTAAAATTAGGATATATACTTATATTTTAAATGGGATATAAATGTTTGTCCCCAGAAACATTACTATTTCCTATGTTAAACAGTTGCACAGTAACTGAGAGGTGTTTTCCAGCCATATCCTAAAGAATATTCACAGCAATGCCATGTGACTGGCTAGAGATGATGGGTAGAAGGAGAAATGGGGTGTCAAAGACTTTGAGCAGAACAATTAAGTGGGGGCTTCTGATGTCAAATAGTGCCCATATTGTCTTTCCATTCTTATATTTTGCAGACACTCATCTGCTATATGAAATACAAAATAATGTATTTACCCTGTTTGGTCTGAGGCTCATCTGGGCTGGGGAGGATTACAGTTTGAGAAGGCAAAAGTGATGCTTCTATGGTAACTGAAGGAGAATACCCAGGGTTACCATAGTGCTTCACACACCTTCAGTACAGATGGCAGAAATGATGGTAATAAGTAGATCTTTAAAACAATAAAAAAAATTGCAAGTCTGCAGCAAAATAGCATGCTTCCTTCTCCATAATGCATTTGGTTTAAAAAATTCTTAGAGATGTCAGGTTACAAAATACTTGCAAAGTAAGCAATACCCTTACTTTTTAAATCCTCACTCCATACTAGCACCTCTCCAACATGCCAGAGAGATACATTCAACAGTAATCATAAAGGGAAAAACAAAGTAATAAAAAAGTGTTAAAGCATAAGCCATTCAAGAAACATTGAATTTCACTTAAATAATGGAGAAAAAAAATCAAACATGTAAATGAATGTGATGGAACGAATGTTAATGGAAAGTATGTTACTAGGGCAGAAAGTATGAATGGATCATTATACAAAAAATATTATCTGAAATATTCAACACAACATCAAGCTGGCGGAATAGATATTACAAAAAAGATGCTTTAGATTTGACAGTTGTGCTGACTTAAGTAGAGAAAGAGATGAGGTCTAGATATGAAACTGAATGGAGAAGTGACTTCTTGGACAATGGTTATGAATAGAAGCACCTAGAAAGAAAATTAACTGCCGTGACAAAGAATGATGTTGCAACATGAAATTACAATGAAAGAGAACCTGAGGTTCTCAGATGCTGATGGCAATGAGGACAAAAGCTGCTGAGGTGTGTTATTACCTAGGGTGGTCTCAGGTGCTTCAGACACATTTGTAATAGATTCCACAACTGCATCAAAACAAAGGAAAACAATTTAAAAAATTGTAAGATGTTAAGCTACATCCAAGTGTTTCTTTAATACCAACACACTTCATTCTCTTAAAGAATCTGAATCATATTTTTAAAGATAAGACAATGGATTTAGACAAGAAAAAAGAGAACCAAGAGGGAAATCCTATTTCTAACACCTATCCTCCAACTAATATTTTTGTTTTAACTGTCATTAACTGGCTGTCAAATGTTATACCTCAATAGCATACACTGCAGAGAAACTGAAATTTATTTCTGTATTCAGAGAGTCTATTATCATTTTAAGAATCCAAGAATTTTGGAAGCTATAGCTCTTCAAATCTATTCCACTGTAGAATAAGCACCAGAGCTTGAAATTTCATGTTCCATGGATGGAATACATACTAATTAAAATTTTGTTTAATAAATGAATCAAAGCATGAAAACCTTTACCGCCATCAGTCTTTGGCTCCTCTGGCCTGAGCGGTGCTTTGGCAGTGGGATATATATAATCTGTTTCAGCTGATGCTAGGGAGGAAACAGGGGATGGTCTGGTTAGTAGTGGGCAGCCCACAGCACTCTGTAATGGAACACTGTTTAATGTGAAAACAGATTACTTATTTTAAGTAGATACATTTGTGAGAATAAATAACATTTAGATGGATTTTGAAGATAATGGCAGAAATAAAGGCAGGGAACAAAGGCAGTGTGCTGTGTAGAAAAATACACACTGTGACACATATTCTCTCTCTAACTGGTAGGGTCTCCAGTAATTTCTATCTGGAGTAAAGCAGATCATTTCCTTTCCTTATATTTTTAAAGGATTCTAATGAGAAAAAGACATGGAGTGAGTCCTTGGGGAGCATGGGGATGAATACTAAAAAAACCCCGAGAACTAGTATGTGCATATTCATATTGCAAGAGTGATCAGAATGTTAAAATGCTAAAATTTGCATTCAGATGAGAGGACACTAAACAAGGAAATTGTGGAGCTTGCATAGCAATACAGCAGACACTAGCACAGTGTTCTGTATATAATATTTGACTCTCAAGATTCAGTGGATGAGCACAGACAAGACGCGAGGAGCTACGAAATGTCACAAAACATGAGGACATTCAAAGATGACTTCTGCAATGAAATGGAAAAGCGCAAATACCTGACTTCCCATTAGGAAACATTTTTACCTATAGCTTCTTTTGATGACTCAGTGCTAAATGTAACAGATTCCAGGGCTTCAGAAACTAGCAAAAAACACAAAATGATACAATTGATCAAGGATGGGTTGTTGTGAGCACTGAATGAATGAATACAAACTAAGTATTTAGAAAAGTGCCTTGTAGCCAATATAATATTATTATTGACACTAAGAGAAGCTCTAATAACTGAATTTGAACTCACAATTTTATAAGTGTGGTAGGTTACCAATAATAATCAAACCTTGAACTGCCAATGTAAGCACCACAATGCATTTAGCTAATTAAAAGATGCACAAAGGAGATAAAAAGAAATTACAATCCGATGCTAGAAAAAAATAAGTTCCAATGTTTCAAAATAAATGTCCAGGTGTGGCCACGGTATTGTAAGAATGATTTAAAATTTTTGTTTAGGGAATATAGTCAATATAATTAATATTGTAACAGCTATACTCGTATATGATGTCAGAGGGGTAGTAGACTTGTGGGGGTTATCACTCTGGGGTGTAAATGTCTAATCATTATGTTGTTTTGTACTCCTGAAACTAATATAAAAAAATAAAATTTAAAAAACTTTGTTTTCAGTTCACATTGTGTAAGGTGAAGTTTTATTATCTTTACTGAAGCAAGAACTTTCTCCTTCATTGATGGTCACAAATGAACTAGCATTCTTTTCATGTGGCAGAGCACAAACTGAACTTATTTACTAGAGTACCACAAATTTGTAACTGTTAGTGAAAAATAAGGATAAAAAAAATAAAATCAGTTCTCAGTGGTTATGCTGACTACTTAATAGGATACGTGATTATTGTCTAAAATGATACAGTACCAACAGAATGAAATGAAGATAAAATTTTTTATACTGTTGAGTAACACAATATAAACATAATGCATTGCTAATTTAACACCCATATGAAATCATGGAAAGAGCATCGTACAATATGTAGAAAGTTGTTAAATGTGTATTCTTTTGCATGTTTTATATTTGGAAATACAACACTTGGGAGTTTGTCCTCTAAAACTCAGTGTCCCAGGTACATAAAACGATCTATTTACCGGGTTGACTTTGTGTCATTTCTAGGCTTGGTGATGTCACTGGTCTCAAAATAAGAGTTTGCAGTTCAGTGGGAGCTGAAACAAGAGGGTCTAAGTTGTCAATCATGTATAATTTATTTCATAGGTTTTAGATAAAGGTAGCAATGACTTGAAATACACAGATCCTCAAAATCGCAAGATTATGGAGAGCCATGCAGAGTATGCATTATTTAAAGCAGAAATTATCAAACTATTGCCCTCCTAAATGCAGCCCTCTGCCTGGCCTTTGAGCTAAGAATGGTTTTTGCATTTTTAAATGATAGAAAAAAGCTTTAAAAAAGAGTAATATTTCATGACATGTGAAAATGGTATAAAATTCAAATAAAGTTTTATTGGAACACAACCACACCCCCAAACTAAGAAGACTCAAAGCATATTACATGTCATTTACATATTTGGCTTGGCTGACTTCAGGCTACAACCGCAGAACTGAGTAGTTGTGACAGAATAACCTGCAAAGTCTAAAATATCACTAATTCTTCACATAAAACAATTTTGCTGACCCCTGATCTTAAGCATCCTTCTAGAAAAAGCAAGAGTCTATTTGAAAAAATTAGGTTCTCCTTGATTGTGCCTGAACCTGAATTCCCACAAGGGCTTTTAAGAGCTTCCTACAATTGATTTCATGATAGTATAGTAATAAAATGCTTGCTATCTTCCAGGAGTGCTTTGATCTCTCTTCCAGTTTGACTACCCTCTTGGTTACCCTCAATAGAGGTCAAGTATTTTTCTTTTATTTTTGCTGTTCCCACCCTTCTACCTACAATTCATATCCTAAACTTATTTCAAAGCCCAAATTTTCTAACAGCCCACATAGATCCTTCTCTCCTTTAAATATTTTTCTTTCTGTATTTTTACTGCTCAATAAAACAAGCTGCTTTTGTATAAGCAAATTATCTTATATCTAAGAAAAATTTGAGAACAGGTTCTCCCCACCACGATTATATTGTCATCTGTCCGAAAGGTAAAGCATACCCTTACTTTGATCTCCACCTGTATTCAGCACCCCACCCAACCCCACTCAACTGTTAATATGGTGCTGGGAACACAGATGGCAAGGAAATGTTTATTTACATAAACCAAAGAAGCAGCACTTTTAAAAAGGAGATGAATGAAATGGAGTGATAAGGGAATTGAATACATCTTTTGTCAGAGACGATCCTTATGCAGGGCACAAGATGAATTTGGCTACCACAAAGATGGCCCCAATCATGAGCGTTCTGGTCAACCCTGCGGTTGTAGAAATGCTAACCACTAGCTGTGCCTTTCCCTTAGAG